TGGCCTCCCTTAAGTCCCAGACTCCTCCGGATAGGTAAAGTAAGGGATTTTTTTTTTAACAAACGCTCAGGGCGAAGCTTTGCCCAAGCGCATATTGCTCTGTTTAAAAAAAAAAATGGCGGGGGAAAACCGGAAGCCTCAGGCTTCCGACGGAAATGGGTAGGCACCGGTGGAGAGCGATCAGACACCGGGGTACATCGGAAGCAACCGTTGCACTCAGTATACCACCACTTGGGACCTAGTGGCAGAGTGCAACGGTGTAAAGGGCTTTACATCGGTTAGGGACAGGAGGCAGATGTTCACCATCTGAACGCCGGTGAGTACAGCGATTGCAACCGGCACCTATACCGATGTAAAGCCCCCGTCTGAACGCACCCATAGAGTTGGAAGGGACCTCCAGGGTCATCTAGTCCAACCCCCTGCACAATGCAAGAAATTCACAACTACCTCCCTCCCACACCACCAGTAACCCCTGTCCCATGCCCAGAAGATGGCAAAAAACCTCCAGGACCCCTGGCCAAACTGGCCTGGAGAAAAAAAAATGCTTCCTGACCCCAAAGGAGTGATCAGCAATACCCTGGGTATGTAAGAAAGGGACCCCAAGAACTAAGCCCTGATGCAACCCTTCCTCTCTCTCATGATCTGCCTAAGTTAACAAAATCCGCATTGTTGTCATATGGCCATCTAGCCTCTCTTTGAAAACCTCTGGAACTGCCACAGCAGAAATCTGCACAAGCATTTAAGCAGATGAGAAATTTATAAATGTTGTAATCCTACAGCAGCAGAGGTCACTGTTGCTCCAAACAAGAACGATCAAGGTTATAACAGCTGCATATGGTTTCCACAGCTGGCTCACGCACAGTGCAGAGCCTCCTCAAATGCCTCCTCTTGGGACTGGCTTACATATGCAGGTGGGGAAGAAAGTAGATGAATGCAGTAGTGATAGAATGGACTGGACCACTTCTGACTGCAGGGGGAGAATCATTTTGCTCCACGGTTTGGAATGACCCCCTATGTTAAAAAAAATCCCTGAAAAACTGCAGACCAGCACAATAAGCAAAAGGAGAGAGTGAAAATTTCTTCCTTTCTAGGATACTTTTCTATATGCATGGGACTTTGTATATGAAGACATATGAGCAGGGATCTATCATCTGCAGTCCAAAGTGATGCACTGTGTTCTCTCACCTCGTTCTACATCTTGCATAAATCAGGCCTTAACCTTTCTGTGTGAATCATCTTCTCACTCTTCCAGCCCCCCATTGATGCAGAAATGGCAAGATGGCAGCACCCTTCCAACCCTGCTCCAGTATCTACAAGGTAAATAGCACTTGCGTACAGAGACAGTCTACCGTGGGATGCTGGGGGCAAATGAAAAAATGCCCATAACTTTCATGTCCTTCTTCTGAGCACCCTGTTGCTGTTCGAAACAGGAAGCTGGATTAACTAGACAATTGGTCTGATGCAGCAAGGAGATGTATTTGACAGGCAGAGACAACTGAGGCCCTGTCTTTGCACCAACAAAAGTCCACACTGTAGTTATAGTAGCAGTAATGTTCATGTTGTCTTGAATACCACACTAATTAGCTCAGGAACTTCCTGCTACAGTGGTGACGCTTGGTTGTGTAAGTATTACCGTTTACAGATTTCTCATGAGAGTTCAGAACACTGATTTTTTTTTACCCACAAAGTGTACCAACAGAATTATGACTTGGGTTGCATTGCAAAGAGTCATTTACTGACTTCCGGTTTATGGCGGCACGCCGAGCAGACTCACCTTCTGGACCTCCCGGGTGGTGAAAGCTGCACACCAGCGGAAAGGGGGGGGGGAGGCATCGCCACCCCCCAGGAGCCTGGTGAAAGGCTCCTAGCCAGGGGACTTCTGAGAGGTTGCCTCTTCGCCAGCGTAATGCTGGAGAATCGAGGCGCTTATCCATCCCGACGGTCCTTCTGCTGAGTGTCCAAATGGAACAAGTGATGCTGACCAGGGCAAGCGCTGGAGATTGAGCGGTTAAAACAGAGGCTAAACGAGGTCATATGACCGAATATGAACGTGAGTCGGATTAAAGAGTATTTGCTAACTTAAAAAGAAAGCTCCCACCCCCACGGACTAGAAAGTAAAGCGAGTGAGGGAGGGGCCCCTCCCATGCGCACAAATTTAAAAGTGAGACTCGGGGGTGGGGGGGAGTGGAAGCAAAAGCGATGAAATCTGTTGGGAAAGACTTACCAAGGCGTGTATGAGCATTTGAGCGCATATTAAGAGACTTTATAAATCTTTGCGAAAGTAAACAATTAATAAAAATGGCGGGGAAGAGGACGGAGAAAGAGAAACTTTCAAAAGCGAAAGTAGTTGAGAGCCCACGACCGGAAGGAACCACCGAGTTGGCCAAAACACTGGCAGAATCCCTGCACCCCCTGCTGGATCAGATGAATAATCTCAAGGAACAGCTGTCAACAATGAACCAATGTATCGCCACTCAGCAAAAGCAACTAAATGAGACTCTTAAAATTACAGAACAAACAGCTGAGAAGGTGAAAGAAGTTGATGCCACTGCTCAAAAGGTGAAGAAAAAGGTACGAAAATTGGAAAGGAAGCAAGTTTCTACAGAAGAACAGCTTTTACAATTACAAATGGAGAAGTCAAACTTGGTCCTTTATTTCCAAGGTGTCCCAGAGACTAAGGGTGAGAATCTGAAGCAAATGATGAGCGAAGCATTGGCCCCAGTGACAGATCTGAAGGCGGAACTTTTGATAAGCGAGATGGATGTGGTCTATAGGTCATATTGCGGATATATAAAGAAAAATAATCTGCCTGGGGAAATAGTAATGAGATTCTCGAAGAGGCATGTGAGGGATTCTATCCTGAGAGCAACAGCGGGATCACCTTTGAAAATTGGGAACAATACTATCAGGATTCTGAAAGATATTCCATTTGAAATAAGACAAAGGAGAAAGAAGTACAAAGATCTAATCCTTTTTCTTCAAACAAATGCCATCGTGTACAGGTGGCTAACTCCAGAGAGTGTAACCTTCAGGATAAAAAGGAAAAGATTGACTCTGTTTTTAAAGTACGGGAGTTTTTGAGAATCCAGTTGGGAGAGCCAGAGGAGGTGGAAAAAGAGGGAAATGACAGTAAGTCCAGTGGCGAGCTGGACTCGGGTCCTTCTGGAGAGGACTCCCTTTCTGAGACAGGGGGCAGCGGCTCCTAAAAGTCCCTACAAACTGCGGAAAAGACAGGATAAGAAAAAATGAAGGCTGAAGGACTCTGAATTGTGCCTTTGAAAACATTGTGCTTAATAATGAGATGCTCTGGGGTCTTTTATCAACAGTTAAATTTAAGATTTAAAAGATATACTAGCATGTCTGACTAAGTTCATTAAAATGTTAGCGTTTTAAGGGGTGGCTTTGTATTTAAGCAAATTTGATGATCTCCTCTCTTGGGTTTTTAGTCAGTAGTGGTTATCTTTCCTTTTTCCTTAATTGTAATTCCCTTCCCTATTTTCGTTGTAGTTTGTAGTCCTTATATAAAATGCAATAAAAAATCCCCTTCGGGGGGCCAAAAAAAAGAAGAAGAGTAATTTACTGGAACAACTTGTTTGTCTCTACAGTCCCATGTTGGGAGAAGAATAGCTTGCTGGATCTTCTCATCTATTTGCATAGCTGTTAGCACAGTGGACTCTTTATCACCTTGTGGAAAATGTCATTCAGGGAAACTAATCTGTCCTTGTCTTGTTAGAAGCAGGAGTGGTACTTAACAAAGTATGTGTGATCAGCACGGAAACTGGTCCTACTGGCTTGGTAATACTTGCAAAACAAACTACAGCTGTGGAAAGTAAGCAGTTGCCAATTGGTGCCTGGCAATCCCTAACAGACAAGGTAGGGTTGCCAGCTCTGGGCTGGGAAATACTTGCAGATTTTTTTTTGGGGGGGGGAGATGGAGCCTAGAGGGGGCAGGATTGGAAGAGGGGAAGGACCTCAGGTGGGTACAATGCCATAGAGTTCATCTTGCAAAGCAGGCATTTTCTACAGGGGGACTGAGCTCTGTAGTCTGGAGATCAGTTGTAAAAGCAGGATATCTCTGGGCACCACCTGGAGGTTGGAACCTTAGCACAAAGGATTTGACTGCAGGGCATCTTGTCTTGAAACCACTGATCCTGATCTGTTCTACTCCATTGTTCAGTGATGGTGAACAAAGTGTTCTTGAGGGAAACTTGCCTGCCGTTATTGGGCTTGAGGTTGCTGGCACATTTCCAGGAATCCCTGGAATTAGGGTTGCCAACTTTGTGTTTGGAAGTACCTGGGGATTTGAGGGTGGAGCCTGGGAGAGTGAGGTTTAAGGAGGAGAGGGATGTTGGTAGGGTATAATGCCATGCAGTCCACCTTCCAAAGCAGCTATTTGCTCCAGGAAAAGTAGAACAGATGTTTTAAATAAATAAATGGTAAACACACGAGTGATTTATATAGTCTGATGATCAGTTGTAATTCCAAGAGATCTCCAGCCTCCACCTGGAGGTTGGCAACCATATCTGGAACACAGCATGAAAACGGTGGAGTTAGAGAAGTAGTGTCTTTTGGAAATAACCATGTACCCTACTAACTTGTTGTGCTGGAAGAACAAGCACATACATCTGACCTACTGAAACAAAGGCCACCTTGTTATCACAGACTCCCACATGCCCCAAAGCATGCCAAAGTTTTATGAACAGTTTCACTTTATCTCATGATCCTATGAGCTGTATTTATCTCACAGAAGCAGCCACTCTGAATCTCCACCTCAAGGAAGGAAAGAGGAATGCACTGCAAGAATGTGAGCAAGCGCAGTCTGATCTGGATTGAATGTGGCTGTGCATACAAGCCACAGCTGAACCTGGCTTCAGTTCAGGAGCTGGTTCAGATTAGCATGAGGGTTATTCCAGTTGGACATTTCAAAAACACACCCCCTACTACTCCCATAAAAGGGATCAAATTTCCTTTGCGTATGCTCCTCGGGAAGAAGAATATACATGTGTGTGTTTTCCAGGAACAGCGTGGCACCCTCTTGTACTTTATTCACTCTGAATGTGGGTGTACAGCTTGGTGCCGAGGGAAATAATGAACACACATTTTGCTATGCCAGGAAAACAGGAACAGCGTTTCAACTAGGACGAATGCTTAAAGAAGATTTCCTTGGCTCAGAAGTGGGGAGGAGCTGCTCTTGTACCCCAGGATTATGTCCTGGCTACTTGCTAGAACTTGGTTTCCAAAAATTGCCCCCAAAGGCAGATTCTCATCTTGCAAAACAAGAGCATGGAGCAGGGGACCTCTCACTGCATACATGCCAGAAGCTGCAGCCTTTCCTGGACCAAGGGATCACCAAGGGCTGTATCAGCTGTCTGTGGAACAGCCAGACACGTTTTGGGGCACACTAGGGAGAAGCAGGCTCTTATGGATAAGCCCCTTTCACTGTGTCAGTTCCTGCAACCTACAGCAAGGCCATTTGTCCTGGTTCCTTGGAGGACAGCTGAATGTATCAGGTAAGTAGGAAGCCAGCTGTTCTTTGTCTTTGTCTGCTTGAAGGAACATTTCCTTTCAGGGTGGAACTTTTCATTTCTCCCCTTTTCATACAAAAATTCCATACTTTTCTCTCAAGGTTTGCTCAATATTGACTCTTTAGTATCCATTTTACTACATTATGAATCAGTGTTTTGGCTATACTAATCTCTTTTGCTGAGCATAAGAAAAGACCGGTTTGAGGGGGGAGACAAAACAAAAACACTAGGATGGAAGAAGTGTGTGCAGAAATACTAGGTCATAAAGTAAGACCTAGTACAGTTCCACCACCTGGGTACTACTTTCTCCTGATGGAATTGGTTAGTCAGTAGCCCCACTGACCTTGTCCTAAACATTCTCTACAAAGTATCCTGCAGTTATTTGCCAGGTTGCAATTTTGTTGTACGTTGGTGGTTCAAGAACCTGAGGTTAAAATATTTATTCTTTTTACAAAATTTGGGTCAAGAAAGCTCAAACTGTAGTGCAATAATTAGTGATAGCATTATGGCAGAAATCCTGAACACATAGTTAAAAATGTGTATAATGTCCTTCTTGTAAAAAGCAAAAAATACTTCTTATATTTCTCTAATGAATATAATTGTTTATGGAACTCAGAAATTTTGCCCCATTTACTGCATATAATACACCAACATTTCCCCCTTTACTATGCTATTAGATAATGATGCAATGATCAGCCATGTCTCTTTTGGAGTAACGTTTCTTGCACAAAACATTACTTTTATCAGACTAATACAATTCATTGTAGACATGTGTGTATTCCATTTGAACCTTGGACAAAGGATATATGGAGCTGATGCATGAGTATTTATAATAATTCAATTTCTTAAAACAATTGATTACATGTATTTTAATGTGAACATGGTGTATTTGGCTTGATGACAGCTTTATAAATAAATAGCATAAACCAAGGGTTCCTAACTTTTTCGAGTATGAGGACCCTTTTTCAACATTAAAAAAAATCTGTGGATCCCCACATAATACTAGTTGTACTTCTAGTATCCATTGACTGAGAAAACGTAACGAAAAGATCAAAAAGACAATGCTTAGTGTGCATATGAATTCAAGGACCCTTTCCAATAACTTTGTGACCCTCCGGGGGTCCCCATCCCCCAGGTTGGGATGGGAACCACTGACATACAAAACTAGCACATATAACATAATTGGTTGTAGCTAACAAACCACTATAGCCCCGGTCAGACGTGCCGGAAAACGCGGGGGGGCGGGGCGGCTATTTGTGCCGTCGCATTCTGATGCGCCATTATGCGATCAGATGCGATGGCGGCTTCCCCGCGGCAAAGAGGACAACGGGGGAGAAAGCCTCGCGCTGGCGCGATCACACCCAGGGAGTCCGCATGCAGCCCGTGGCAAACCATTTGCCAGTAGGTCGTCCCAGGTACTTTTTAAATGCGCATCTACGGCAGGACACCACGGGTGTGCTACGCCTCCCAGATGTTCCGGTGTGATCGTGCCCAGAAAATCCGTGGGACTATCGTGCCTTCAGCGTGGCAAATGCTCTGTGTGAACGGGGCCAAAGTGGACTTTCCATTCCTCTCCCCCACAACTTGTTTTGACCCCCAGAAAAGTGATGCCTGGTAGCGTTGTGGGACCTGAATGGAGTTGAGAAACTGCAGTGAGGAGAGGGAATTGGACAAAGCTACCACCTTCTTCCACAAGCGGAAGATGTGGAAGGGGGCATGTTCAACAACTCCCCACTTCCCATTGCAGCCTCCTGGCCTGCATAGCTTTTTGTCCATGCAGTCCCTTGTGGGTTACTCCAAATCAGGGGTCATTTCGTAGAAAAAGAGCTAGGGGAACTCATTAGCATAACTCATTAGCATATGCCACACCCCCTGACATCAGGGGCCCGGCGGTGGACCTGCAAGGCCGGCTGAAGTGCGAGGAAGCCCCACCAAGGCCCTCCCTGGCCCCAGGCAGGCAGGGGTGGGGAGACGCGGGGAGGAAGCAACTTACCCTCCCTCTTCTCCTGCCTCCTCTTGGCTGAAGGAGGGCTGGAAGCGGGGCGACCAGAAGCAGGGGGTGGGGCTTCATCGTGTGCCCCGCCCCCTGCACCTCACCCGGGGGAACTGTGTTCCCCCGCGTGCCCCCCCGAAATGACCTCTGCTCCAAATACCATCTTTCTGGGGGACAAAAGGGACTGCTGGAGCAGGGTGTGTGTGTGTACAGGGGATATTTGCATACATTGTGCTGGTGGTTGATTGAAGATACGATTAAATGACTCATTGGAAGTTTGTTTTAATTTACAAGGAAGAAAGAAAAACAAAATGGAAATAAAAGTTTTAATGACTATAGACTGTACAATGCTCCCTCTAAGCTGTGCAGCCTTGTGAGCAAAAATTCAACTTTGTGAGCTCCTGGCATTAAAGTTGTGAGCAAGCAGTATGGCTGCTGCATAAATTAGTTTGCTCTGGAGCCATCCTTCCTGAGCTGAGACAAAAATGTGTGAGCCAGAGGCTAAAAAACTGTGAGCTAGCTGACACTAGCTCAGCTTAGAAGGAACACTGGTGACAACAATATTTAGTATGTAGATGGGCATATCAGTGTCAATATTAAATAAGAAACTGGACATGATGAGGGCAGCCATGTTTGTTGTTTGTGTATTTGCCACATAAATCTATTTCACAGGGTGGGTCTAATTGTTTTTATATAGAAACTGTCACACCGGTGAGGAGAGCAGAACCTTCCCTGTCTTACCTTTCTGTGTTGCTCCAAGCAATTTTTCCCCAACCAGACTCCTTTCTACTATCAGAACCCAGCTGAGGAAAAATGCCTGAAGTGATTGTGGGAAGGGGAGAGGTTCAGCTCCCCTCATTATACACCCCTTTTTCATCTAAATATTAGACTTGGCCCCTATTTAATGAGAATACAGAAGACACATAAATAAACAAACACAATTGTTCTTTTGTGCCTTATTTGGCTATTTGAGTATGACAGACCCATGCTCCTTCTGTTCTGTGAGGCAGATTTTCCCTCCAAAAACACTGTTCACCACTCTGACTGAGCAGCCTTGTAGTAGCGTGTTTGAATCATAAACTTATAACTCAGGCCAGAGATTTTTATTGTAACTTAGCAGGAACCCTCTTATAAAACCCCTTTGGATATGGCACGACATGAAATAAAGTTGAAACAAACAGGTTGATTTTATTGAACAGGCACAGTTGTAACAGGAATAGGGCAGGGGATGATGAGTTCTTCAAACTGTAGTTCTTTATAAGAAAATTAGAATATCTTGAACAGGCAACACCTAAAGGACCACCTTTCCCCATATGTTCCCCAGCGAGCACTGCGATCAGGTACTCAAAATTGCCCGGTCCTCATAGGCTCCAGAGAAGCCAGGCTTGCAGTAACGAGGGCCAGGGCCTTCTTGGAGGCAGCTCCATACTGGTGGAATGAGCTCCCAGAAGACATCAGGGCCCTGCGGGACCTTTTACAGTTCCGCAGGGCCTATAAAATAGAGCTCTTCCACCAGGCATTAGTGTAAGGGGCCGCCCGCAACCATCTGAGGCCCTGGCTCCAACACCACCAATACCATCAATATTAATAACATCATTACCATCACTGAATAGCCTGTGCCTCACTGATACGACCCAGACCATGTGCTAATTGTGGACTCCCGCCATGGTATATGTTATTGCTAGCACTTTATGTATTGTTTTAAACTTAATTTATTGTAATTTTAATAATGTAATAATGATGTGAACCACCCTGAGCCTGCTGGGGCAGGGCGGGCGGGCTAGAAGTCAAAATAAATACATAAATAATAGAGGTATTCAGAGAAGAAAAGCCAGTTTACAACAGTTTACAAATTCATTAAATCACTCAGATGTCAAGGTGAATAAATACATCCAATATTGGTGTCTGAAACAGATTAGATAAGAGAGGCCTGTTGAGGGCATTCTGCAGATGAGGAGCCCTCACAAAAGGCTCTTCTGGTGGGGGCGGGTGTACACAGAGAAGGGCAACAGAGGATTACCTCAGTTGACTCATATACAGAATAATCAGTTATTTCAATTCGTTATTTTAACATTTTTAAAGATCCAAGAATTAACTGCATCATTTTTATTGTCTCCCATATCTTTTAACAGCAATTATTATTTCTGTAGTGTTAATATACTACATCGACATACTGGTCTGTCTGATTGTATTGGCACCCAAGGAGACTTACAATGCATTGTAAGTGGCATGTACCACTGACTGAGATGAGCAACTAACCTATTCTGGACTGTGCAGTTAATCTATTTGGGTTGTGCAACTGGTTCATACTGGGGAGTTTCAAATGATTAACTTGGAATTGTACTTTTTTGGGTTGAGTACATTGGGTCAGGCTGTGCATTTGATCTTAGGAAGTGGAGATAACCCTGGGCCAAGTGCTTTCAACTTGTACTATTTGCTTTATAGGTTTTTTCGGCACATTCTGCTGTTGTACGTTCATACAAACATGAATTTGAAACAGAAAGGTTCAGTGAGAAATGTCCATCTCAGTCATTTAAACACTGTTGGATCTCTTGGTTATGATTGCCAATATGAATAATTCATGACTGATAGGGACACAACCTATCTATTTGCCTGTAGATGGAGATCAGCCACCAGAGTACAGAGTGCTTTTTTGACAAGGACATTCTATGGGTGCTGAATCCATGAGAGCACACAGACCCCTCCCCTGGGAAGGCAGCCACTGACATGTGCTCACATAAAGAGCTGGAACAAGCTCTTTATGTGATAATCTAGAACTCCTAAACTAAGGAGCCTGTCCTATATTTTAACATTTGATAGGGCACATATAGAGACAGGGACAGAGGATTTGTGTTTTCCCATTTATTTTGGATCCCTTGCTCAAACTGGTGCTGTGCTAAAAGTATGCATGTGAACATTCAGAGGGAATAATAAGCAGACTACTTGTGGCTTTAGTCAGCTCCGCCCATTCCCCTGTTCCTATTTCCGCTTCTATTTAACTTGGAGGGCAGGTACACAACTTGGAGGGCAGGTAGAGGGGCAGCCTGGGGACGTCCTCTGGGAGTCTGATGCTTCTAGCTTGACGGGTGTGTGTGTTTGACACACTCCTCCCACTTTACAGATTGAACCCTAGGGAAGGATCTTTTCCCTCCCCCAAAGCCTATCTGCACACAACTTGGAGGGGGCTGTATTAAAAGGAATGACAGGATTGCCCATTGAAAATAATGGGAGAGGCCTGAAGACCCATTTTTAAAAATTTAAACCCTTGGGATGCCACCCCTCCCAGCATGCCAGCCAGCCAGCCACTGAGCTTGTGTCCCTCTATGGGTTGGGCATGCCTGGAGTAGGCCAGCGGCAGCTAGCCGAAGGTGGTGGAAGAGCAGGGAGGAGAGGAGAGAAAGGGGATGTCCCCTCCACAGATCACAAGTGACTTTAAACACAATTAAGCAAAAAATGTGAGTTTGGGTTGTAGATGCAGAATGCATACACAAAAATAAACTGGAGAAAAAAGAATAGTGCCAAGGGCAGGGACACAAAATACGAAGTTAACCTTAAAGTCTCAACTGCTTGGATTCTCCAGAGTAAGCTACAGTGATCTGTTAGTGCAGAAAAGGCCCCAGTGTGTTTTTGATGACCATTCAGTCTTTTAAACATCTAAAAATAATGTAATTATATAATTGATTTGATGGAAACTCAACATGTGCAGTGTTTATATTTCATGTGCTTCATAATTATTGAATAACTCTGTTATGAATTGGTGCATCCAGTTCAATGATCACAAACGGAGTACTATTTTCATTAGGATTCTGTGGGAATCTTCGGCAGCCATTTTCTTAGTTGGTGACGGAGGAGGAGCAGGGGGCTTTTCAAATGGCGGCAACCATGCTGTTCTCCACGATACATCCAAGGTTGTTTTTTTTACAATGTAATGATGTCATAACACTACTGTATATGCACCCACACAAAAGGAGGTTCCGTTGCTGACGAAGGACATGACGACACATTTCGCATACTTCGTAATTATTGAATAACACTGTTATGAATTGGTGTATCCAGTTCGACAATCACCAGCCATTTCCTTAGCTGGTGACTAAGGAGGAGCAGGGGACCTTTGAAATGGCAGCAGCCATGCTGTTCCCCATGATACATCCACAATACATCCACTGCACGTACATAAAAAGGAGGAGGCTCTGTTGCAGAAGAAGCACATGATGACACAGCCACATGACCTCTTTTCAAAGGAAATGCAGAACACAAAGGGGGTGGGGTGGGATCCAAATTCAAGAAACGTCAGAGCATCAGCTGGGGATTCAACCCTCCAGGAAATAATGGCAACACTGAGGTGCCAAAAAGGTCAAAGTAAAACACAGAGGTATGGGAATGTATCAGAACACAGTTACAGATGCTGCAGAATACTAGAAACAAAAAAAAAAGAGAGAGAGAATACTAAATATTATGAACCGAGATCAAGGCAGCTCTTAAACAAGTAATTTCTTTATTCAGCTCATGACTTAACACAGGACAACATTCAACAAAACCTTCTAACTTTTATACTATTTGAACTGGCAAAGCCACACCCCTAGAACAGATAATAACCAATGAAAATGCATCGCTTAGGACCAATGGATTTGGTTCCCGCCAAAAGTCAATGTCTCTTCGGATTGGCCTATTTGCAGCATTGGCCAATCCGGTCTTGCATCTCAGGATACTAGGGCTTCTATGGAGCTGTAAGCCCAGTTCCTGACTTCACATAATAACTGAATACATAACACCAAATTACGCTGATCAATCGTTTGCCTTGGCCTTTCTCCCAGATGAATGAATGCAAGACAGCAGGAAGCTTAAACAAAGGATGGTCTCTTCCATTCAGTGACACTAACTTTCACTGTGCTTCTCCCTTCCCTGCCCCTCTGTTCTTGGCAGGTTTTTGCTAAGTGAGTTGCACATTTAACCATTTTCTTCCCAGCTGGGAGGGATTGAGACCAATCCTATTTTGGGGGAACGAGCTACCCAATTCCTGCCAAGTCTGCATTTAACCCATCATGTCTTGTCATGCACAGCACTACTGATTTTGAGGGCTACAGGCTGGGATATTAGAGCACTCCTTCTTGCCCTGCAGTGACAGTATAGCCAAATGGTCTTCCTCCCATTTGTCACCATACAGTGCACTTCCTTCCTTCCCTGAGCATAACACTGGGATTTTATGGCAGGCTCCCAGATGAGGCAGATAGTCCATTGTTCACCACAGCAATCAGGGAAAGTTTGGACTTTGTCACAGATTAGTATCCTATTATCAGCATAAAATTATTCAGGTGAACATCTGGTTCCCTGACTAAGGAGCAGTGAACCACACTTCAGTGGGAGAAATATCATTCTGAAATTTTGTTCCAGGAAGGGGATCATAAGAACGGAAGAAGAGCCCTGCTGGATCAGACCACTGGTCCATCCTGCTCAGCATCCAGTTTCACGCAGTTGCCCTGGAGGGCCAACAAACAGGGCATAAAGACCAAGGTCTTCTCTTGATGTTGCTTCCTAATACCTGGTGTCCAGAGGTTTACTGCCTTTGAATATGGATGTTCCATTTTGTCATCATGGCTAATAACCATTGATGGACATTTCCTGCATGAATCTGTCTAATCCCCTTAGGAGGACAAAATGGGTGGTTGCAAAGGAAGGGGGAATTGGTGTAAATCACTGCCCCCTCTTCCGCAAATGGAGATGCTGTTGTGTTGGAGCAATTGGCCTGATGGCAAACTTGGATACTAGTGAAATCTTGCACAGTTCAAACAGAGAGAACACCAGGCTGAAAGCTTAATGTTTTGTCTTTTTTGATCCTGTATGGTTTGAGGTATTGGGTATAGTCAGCTGTTGGGGCTGCACTTTGGTCAAGAGAAATACCAAATACTTGGTAAGCATTTGTTGAATTTGTCTATAACAAAAGAGTACATAAGAGAGTCGCCAACTTTACTAATTACTTGGGAATAAGCTGCCAGCAGGGGCTTTGTACTGAAACAGAAGAGACTGGCACAACCTGCAGTGGTAAGGGACCCAAATCTTTTTTCTCTTCCAGTTAACTGTTTGGATCGACATGTCCACAGTGCCCCAAATAAAGTGGCTCTAATCTGGGAAAAAGATGAGCCTGGACAAGAGGACCAAATTACATACAGGTTATTATTTATTCTTGTTTACATGGGTGCAGGGGAGGGGGACTTGCACACTTGCTCAATAGTGAAAATATCATCAATCCTCACACAATCCTCATATCATGGCAAAATACTTGTTTTGTACATCTCAGCATTTCCTGTGCTCTGCAGGGAAAATCATTTGAGCGGAAACATCAATGTGTAAAGTCCTAAAACAAATTAAAAAATCTTGCGACACTTGTTACTAGGATTAACCAAAACATCACAAAAAGGTGTGCAATCTTTTGAGTTCTGTAGAACTCTCAAGCACCAAACAGAAAGCACACGTCCTTTAACATGGGAAGAAGACAAAGAAAACTTCATAAGTCCTTATCAAACTGGAAAGTCAGCAGAAGCCAAATTGGGTAATGTTGCTTAGTGGGTGGGGGGAATGAAACAATGTGCAGACTTTTGAGTTCTCCAGAATTCTTCATCAGGCTGTATGTTAAAAGGGGGAGGGAGAAATGTTTTGTGCTATGCCATTAAAGGTCTCTGGCATGCATCTTGTGCAGAATGCAATGGACTGTTTTGTGATGTTTTTGTTAGTCCTAATTAAAGCACCTTTGTTTGGGGGATTTTTTAAATGGACCAATGTGACTCTTTGGAAATTTAGCCTTAAAATAAGGTTTCCCCCCCTATTGGACAAAAAGCATATGTGATATAGTTTTGGTTCTGGATATATTACCCAGTTTGGCTTTCATTCTCCAGCTTTGTTAATATAAGGACCACCACGTTTTCCTTCTGTTCTCAATAAATCTCTAAAGGGATTCGTGTGGTCCATTTAGTGCTGGAGAGACTGTAATCACTGACTTTCAACTGAAAAGTGCCTCTTATCCAACTTCACAGCAAGTGTAGATGAAACTTGAAAACAGCTCAACCAAGTACCACACAACGTAATTTATTCTATACAGTATGCACAACACTCTGCCTTTTCATAGCCAGAAACATCTTTTTCGTGCCCCCTCCACCCTCTCCTTAACATCTAGCCTTACAAAGAGTTATGGAGAACTTGAAAGCATGCACATCTATATACTAATAGCCAAGGGTCCCCTCTCTGTGCGGATACTTATTTCTGCAGATTGGGACCACATGGGGGAAAAAAGAGATTATCCTGCACACGTCAGTTACTTCCCAGGTGTACAGAAAAATCTAAAAACTTTAAAATATAGAAGGGGGAGTTAAAAAAAACAGCCAAAAAATAAAACAGAGTTCACTGCGGCTGCGTAGAGAACAGACTTACCAGGGCAGAGGGGGAGGAGCCTTCTCTCCCCGCCCTCTCTCCCCTGTTGTTCTGATAGCATTGAGTCCTCCCCATGGCCACGCCCCCTCCACCGAAGCTCAAGCCTCCAACAGACAACGTTGGGATTTAAAGCAAACTGCAGCAGCTCTCAGCTCTCTTCACTTGGCAGCTCCTTCCACTTTGCAAGAAGGAAGCGCACATACACCCCACCCCACCCCCAGGGAAACTGGAGCAGGCGAGACAAGATACACGCGCCT